GCCAGCGACTCACATCAGCCCAGCTCCAGGTCGAGCTGTTGTTCACCATCTTAGCTGTAGAGGGTGCAGCATCACTGGCCCTCAAGTGGGATTGGAACCAGGGCCCTGCTGCTCAGAGCCGGCGTTCCAAGCCAGCTCTTAACCAACACGCCACTGGGCCGGCCCTGGATTTTTATGTTTAAGATGCTAATGGCTGTGTTTTGTAGTATTTTTTGCGGTGGTGTGCCTTAATTTGGAGAAACTAAACTATGAAAATCTAGACTTAAAGTTCTGAGGCATTAATTGGTAGTTATTTGCTTAATCAAAGCCCCACATGCTTTTAAATACTTAGCTCCCTCTGAGCCTGTTCAATGGTTTACAAACCTTCAATTTAACTTCTTAGAAAACAACACCACTTGGGTATATCTGTAGTTTTACATGCTAATGCCATAACGCAAATTTTCAAAGCCAAATTCAAAATAACACTTGCATACCTACTGAGTTTTTATTTCAATTTCTGAAGCTCCTTTTGGGGGAAGAATAGACTGACTACTTATTATAAGTCCTTCAAATTCACCTTCTTTCCCCATCCACCTAGCAATAGCTTTCATGCTGGGGTAGAGAATGTCAGTTCTATCAAAGAAGAGAGAGACGTTGCAAACAAACATATCTTTCCTCATTCAGATTCTCTGACAATTATTTTCATTCATGTTCTGTTTCCTGCCATCACCTATCAACCTCCCCACCCATCACAGACCACCACATCAACAGGTAAATTTACCACAGTTGCCACTCTCTTGTTAAAATCCTGAGGCCTTTTCCCATTGGATACATTTAATTTCAGTCTTGATTTTTCAAAATATTGACAAGTCTTCTTATTCCCGAGTCACCAGGAAAGCTGACTGTAATAACTCATAAGACAGACAATTCAGACTATGCCACCAAAGTGAACCTTCTTGTGCTCAGTGAGGTCCAGGGTGGTGGGTGGGTGCTTGATAAATGCTTGTTTGGTGACAGACATGTGGCAGAAGCCACGTCTTTCCTGCCAGCTAAGTCATTCCAGCCAGGGCTTGAAGCTGCGAAAGCACCCCAGCATCTCACAGGCCTGATTATACCTCTGTGCCTTATTATGTCTCTGGCTGCAATGCATGATGCTCACAGAGACTCAGCATTTGGGTCTAATGGGGCAGAGAGCGGGGAAGAGATACAGCATGTCTCCACCCAGTGCTCGCTGGGATCCTGCGAGCTAAATAGCTTCGAGTCAGCACTGTGGGAACACTTTAGAAGCACAAGTTCCCGGGCAGAGAACTCTGGGTAAATGATGCGTAGTGTTGCTTAGTGGAATCCAGCACCATGCCTGCAGTTAACAGAACCCAGCTTTTCCTGTAAAGCACTGTTTGTAGAATCACATTGCCCAGCTTCCTGTGGGCTCAGTGGGGCTGCCCGCACCAGGATTCATGGACCAAATCTCACCCTTAGAGCAAGGGGCTGGAGTTTTGCAAACCCCAGGTTCCACTTGTTCACATGAATTTCCACCTCAGCAACACTCACCCATGGAGCTCAGAGAACTGTTTGTGGAGAGAGAAGGAACTGGTGTCCTGGCCTCGCCGCTTAAGCCGGCCCCAGTGCTCCTTCGGCACTTCTAGCTGCTTCCACAGCACCAGAAATGATCTCAGCAAAGTAAGGGACATGACTGCATCGCATGGGTCCCGCAGAAGCTCGGAGGCCTGTGGGCTGCCCTGGAATTGACTTCTGAATCCTGGTGCTCTGGACCAATCTGGCTGAAAGCATTAAAGAGAGTCTTCTTTATTGATTGTGTACCAACACAGATACCCTTTTACCCGCAGCCAGCACAGAATGAAGTCTTTGGACAAGGAGGAGTGGTTTTCAGGCCTGTATCACTTGTAGGGTTTAGAGAAGGAAAGCGTCCTTCCTGAAGAACCAGGATACAGATATCTGCTTGAGTCATGAACCACTTTGCTTGAGTCATTTTTTACATCTTTTTTACTTGGGTACTAACATTTTATCTCCCTTTAAAAAATCAAGCCTTTTGTGTTTAGCCTCTGCATCCTGGAAAGTGCTCTTCAACAACGCCGTTGAGATTTAATTCTTCAAATGGTAAAGCAATAATACAACCTTAAATTGGGGATTTTATCCATTGTACAGGTAAGTAAATGGAAACCTAGGCTTGTCTTATCTCCTGTTCCTTCTCCCATCCTTTAAAAGTTAGGCAGAGAACATGTCTCTTAATTTGAATTTATTATTCAACAGGCAATTTTACTTTAACATTATGATTTGTTCATTCATTCACTGGTGTTTCTCTTAAATATGTGTTTGTTGAGGGGATGTTATGAACCTTGGAGAATGTGGAGGGAACAAGGGTTTCAGGTTCCTGCTCTCCTGTAGCCAGTGGTATGAGGGCCAGGTCACCCAGAGAATGACAGAATGGGGAACCTGTGCTCAGGCCCTCAGTCTGACAACAGCGTCTCAGTCACAGGAAAAGGAGCTTTCCTTTGCAGACAAGATGGCAAATCCGGCTCATGATATGACAAGAAGGGCCTCAGAGAACAATCAGGTAATAAATAGCATCACACTCAAGTTTCACCACCTGGTGTAACTTGATCCTAGATCAGTGCTATTAACATATCCAACGATATGTTAATATATTTATGTTAATATCTTTTGGGCTTGGCTGCCAAAAAGAGGGTTGGTCAGAGGGAGAGTTGGCAATCAAGACCCAGGGGAGAGTGAGCTCCTGAATGCAGCTGACAACCCTTCACCCTCGCCGCCTACCTTTTCCACAATCAGCTAAGCCATGCATTTCCGGATTTAGTTTATCCTCAGAAACCTTTCATTAAATGAAATCTTACACAGTGGCCCAAAATATCCAACAGCCCAAGGCTGATCATGGTGACAAGAAAGAAGCAGCCTAAGGCCACATAGTTGGCCCCTGTGCTCAAAATGCCCCAAGGTGCCTCTGAGGAACCCAGGGCTCCTGGGACCATATTTTTAAAGGCCCTGAGCTAATCCATTACCCTCGCTTTGGAGTTCTAGAGACTGAAGTCTAAGAGATCACAGAACTGGCGCCACAGCTGGGACAGGAAATCCAGAATCCTAACTGACTGGCAGTATACCATATTTCCCCATGTATAAGACGCTCCCATGTATAAGACGCACCTTAATTTTGGGGCCTGAAATTTGAAAAAAAATGTATTACATAAAGTTATTGAACTCAAGTTTTATTCATCATAAAATTCATACAACTCCTCGTCACTGTCAAAACTCCCAACCATTAGCTTGTCCTCATCTGTGTCTGATGACGAATCACTCTTCATATATTGCCTCATCCTCAGTTCCATCTGTGGTATTTGAAATCTATAACCAACCACTGTATAAGATGCACCCAGTTTTTAGAACCCAAATTTTTCGAAAAAGAGTGCATCTTATACATGGGGAAATACGATAAATCCCAGAGCTCCATATAGTTTATGGATATTTACATACTCGTAAATAAAACAAATCACAAAATGAAGCTAATTTAAATAAATAGTAATTTTAAATCACACCTTGTTAGTATATAGTTGACCCTTGAACAACGTGGGGGTTGGGGTGCTGACCCTTAGGCTGTTGAAAATCTGAGTATAACTTAAGCTGAATTCGTGGATGTGAAACCCGGGGATATGGAGGGAAAACTGTATACTTATTGGAAAAAAATCTGTGTATAAATGGACCTGCACAGTTCAAACCCATGTTGGCCAACTGTCAACTATATTCATATTAAGAGAAGTCTTCTCTTCCTAAGTGTTTTAAAAGATGGAAGAAGGAACAAAAGACAAAAATAAAGGACAAAGTAGGAGGAGGTAGGGGTGTTAGGAAACTATTGTAATCCATTAGCAGCAGGGCCAAAAAGTGGTAAAGAAGGGGACCAAAGGGACCAGCAAGTTTCTTGATCTTGGCACTACTTAGTCTATACCCAGCTTTGCAAGTGCTTCTTCTGGGTGAAGCATCTAATTCTACTGTAACACACTTCCTTTTCTACTAATTGACCTGAAGTGGACTTGTGACTCAGTGTTAGTAAGACACAAGGAAAACCTATTGGAAGGCATCTAGAAAAGATTTCCCTTCTTGATAAAAAGACAAAATCCCTTAGGGAAAAAGGTTTTTCCCTTCTCTTTTCATCTTACAAGGATGAGGGCGGCATTTTGCTGACACACCCAGCATGGCAGAGCTGCAGGCCTGCACCTACCGGAGTGACTGCACCAACCTGAACTGCCTCCTCCTAAACTTGTTTTGAAAGATTACTACACTTCTCCAATTTCAGTCATGCCTAGGGGGACAAGCTGTTACTTATGGCAGGTGCACCCTAATCGGCATTAAAGGTGGAAGAACAGAAAAAGCTCCTAAAAGAGAGATTTGGAAGTGGAAACCCAAAGGATAAGGAGTTACTCAGATGATGAAGCAGAAAGTGGGAGAAGATGATAATCATTTGGATTGGTGGACATTAGTGGTGGGGGAGAATGGAGAAAAGTAGACAAACTGGAGAGACATTAAAATAATAGGATAGTAAAACTTGGTGTCTGATTGTCAGGTATGATAGAGAGAAGTGAAACATGAGTGTCTGGATTTTTTGGCTTGGACGGGTTGTAGTAAACTGACATCAAATATGGAAAGAGGAGCAGTTTTGGGGCAGGGAAATGAGCTGTTTGGGACACACTGTCTCTGAGATGGAACAAGGAAATTGAGCATGTGAATCTGATAAGGCTGTGATTTGGACTGGACGTGTAGATTTGGGTGTTGTCACATGTAAGTCATCGAAGTCATAAGAGCAGATAGGTTTGTCTAGGGAGAGGGTGAGGAGTAGAGAAACACAGCGGATAAGAGTATGAGAGAGCTCCAGCACTAGACTGTTAGGTTGGCACCTGGGTCTCTCTCACCAGGCGTGTGACTTTTGGCGTATCGTTTAACCTTTTTGAGCCTTGCTAGTCTTATCTGTAAAATGAGAATAATGAAAGCACCTACCTCATGGAATTACTGTGAGGATTAAAGCAATTAATAATTAATAAAGCATTCTGAATAGATCCCAATCGTAGCCAATAGTAGTGTTAATAGTATTCAGAATCAACTTATTGATTAGACACAGAAGGCACAGTGCCCAGGACCCACACAATGTTTTAATTTCTTTTAAAATCAGAAAAAAAAGAACATTTAGGGTGAATAAAATGCCTTCATATATGACGTTAATATATTTTTCTTTATATTAACACAGTTGTAAACTGGAACTTTAAACATTATTTATGGAAGAAGAGGCCCACAAAGACAAATGTGGCTGGAACCATGGGAATCAAAATGCAGCCCTGGTAGTAGTAGTAGTGAGACAACCCCCCCAAAACAACAACATTTTCGGGATTGGCAGAGGTGGGGGAGTCTACAGAGACGTCTGCAAAGGTGTGTCCAGCAAAGTTGGAGGAAAACTAGGAGAGAATTGTGCTCTGGAAACCAAAGGAAGAGAGGCTTCGAGAAGGACACACTGTGTCAGATCCTGCCAAGGGGTCAGGTTGGAAGGGGGCTGAACAGTATCCAGAGGATTTTGTGACAAGGACCATTGTACTCTTGATGACAGTGGTCTCAGTGGTGAGATGGGGAAGATGAGAGATTGCAGTTTCTGCAGAGTAGATGGAAGGTAAGAAAATGGAGATGGCTAGTACACGCATCTCTCAGAAAGTTTAGTCCTGAAAAGGAGGCTCTTTAAATAGGGGCACCAGCTAGCTTACCTTGTGTTCAGACGAGTTTCTATCTGGTTCCCAGATACATGCAGAGTTGTTTCAAGTTAGGATACTAGGTGGGCTAGTGGTTCTTGGTACCTGAGAGTTTCAGAGGGACAAATCCAGAGGGAGTGCCTGCCTCGGAGCCCATAGGCTAGCTGAGTGATGAAGACTGGAGGTGTTCACCCGGGGCCTCTATGACCCCTCTGGTCTTTCCAACTCCAGTCCTAAATGTGTGACTCACAAGGAAAAGAAGCCAACAATGGGGCATTTGATCCATTTTGTTTTAATGGAATTCCCACAACTTTTGTTCTATTTTAAAAATTAAAATAAATGGATATACCCCTGATCACGGGACTTACTGTGAAAAGAAACACTTTGGAGTGGCTTTCACAGGCTACTCCTACTTTGTTGCTGCTCTTTTGCAGCCTAAGCACAGTCCTGGGACCCACCAGGGGAGGCTGTGGGACAGATGTGGCTCTCTAGTCCATCTCTACACTAGGAAGGTCCTCAGGACAATGCAGTATCAGCCAATTATGTGGACTGTTCACCAATACCTGTGTATTTTTGTCTAGTGTGGCTTGCTGTCCTAGGGGACACTCCATGATCATATGATAACTGCTCAGAAGTACACCTTCCATGAGCAGTTGCATGCCCACCAGCTCTCAATGAGACACCTTGAGGTCACGGTCACTCAGCCTACAGAGGCACAGCTAAATTAAAAAAAAGAACAAAACCATATGAAAACATCCATTTTAAAGACTTCTATGTATCCTTTACACATGGTTTTTGGGAAGGAACTAAGAATAATTGTGTTTACAAGCTCTGCTCTTCCAACTATTAAAAATTCCGTAAAAACCAGAGTAACATTTCTAGCTCAAAGTCTTCTTTGAACATATCAGACTTTTGGCTCTGTATGGAAGCCCAAGCTTCCCAGCCCTTATAGTGGTGTCTGTACATGGTGAATGTATAGCGTGATCCCAATTTTCCTTTAAATGTACAGATATAAGCACCTGTATGCATAAGGAAAATATAAACCAAAATGTGAACTGTGACTGTCTCCTAGTGGGAGGCTATGACTGTTTTTCTTTTAACGATTCTTACTATTTTACTTTAAAAAAAAAATCCCGAAAAACAAAAAACCAAAACTTTCTGACTTGTGGAGAATTTTGAGCATATACAAAAGCAAACAGAATAGTCTCCATCACCCAACCCCAAGAACCGTCAACCTATGGCCAGTCCTGCCCCATCCTCCTCACTCCCCAAATTTATGATTGATTTTCATATTGTTCTTAATACTTTTCTATATTTTGTATTTTTAAAAATAAGAACATATGGGCCGGCTGAGTGGCGCATTGGTTAGGAGTTGGCTTGGGACGCCAGCTCTGAGAAGCAGGGCCCCNGCCCTCTACAGCTAAGATGGTGAACAACAGCTCGACCTGGAGCTGGGCTGCCATGAGTCGCCGGTGATGGCGTAGGCTGCAGTGGGGCTGGCCAGCAGCTGGCGTGAGCTTTCGTGAGCCACCGTGAGCGGCCGTCCAATGGCCAGTGAGCGATCTGCCTCACCTGGGAAGAGTGCAATGATAATACCAACATGGGCCAGTGAAGCGACATCCTCCACAACTAGACTGAAGAATATAAAGACAGCAACTTATCTGTTCCCCTTCCCCAATTCCCCAACGCTGTTCCCCTCCCCCAATTCCCCAATCAAATCTTAAAAAAAAACAAATGAGAACATAGTGTTTGCTTAAGTAATCAAGGGAGAAACACATAACTGAAAGAAATTCTCCTTCTGAGTCCTGCTTAAAGCGTTCTGCTCCTATTACTGTTCATAGATGGATCAGGAGTCACATGCTTCTGAGCTACCAGGCTGGGTGTTCCTCCAACAGACCCAGAGAGTCACTGGGAATGAATGGCCTCTCTCCCAGCTCATTAATGGTCACGGGAATTTCATCTGTGTCTATAACAAGGCCGATACCAGCTGAGGCCATGATTCTCTTCTGTTTTAATAAAGCATGACTCACCTTGCAGGCGTTGGGGTTACAGACTCATTATAAAACACCCTGCTTATCTCATAAATTATTCACCACTGGCCAGCATGTTGAGGATCTGACCTATGGACCCAGTGACACCTGCTTTGTAGCCTGCATTTCGTTCTCTCTCTGACAAGTGGGAAGATCTATCCTACCTGCATATTCCAGAGTATCTGTGCAGCTACTCATCACTGGAAATGGTCCTCCATCTTCCAGAAATGCTCTCCAAGGGAACAGCTCAAATGCCTAAAAGAACCAAATAGTAAACATGATAATGCTGTTCTGTGTTCACAATAGACATCTGTATATGAAAGGATGTCTGTGTCTGCACCCCAAAATACTGTGGGATGATTTATTTATTCTGTAGAAGTAGTTCTTGAGGTATAGTCCCTGATGAGGTAGAGACAGTGATAATCTTACTTTGTTAAATAAGATTTAGAAATCTTATTTAACAGAAAGCGGCTAAATATAGAAGGATACCTAAGATTTCAGTGTAACTAGTCAGCACTAGAGTTCGAAAGTTCCAGAACAGTATAATGCCAGTGGAACATATGGACATATTTATAATCCACAAACTAAACTTGCTTAAGTGTTCTCAATAATGGGAATCTTAAAAATATGTCCTTCATCAGCATTGTGCTCCAATTCTAGGTGACAACGTTACATCAATGCCACAGTGTTACACAGGCTCCTGTCTGCACATCACTGTCCAACAGCCAAGGAATCCCCTACTCCTTGTGGCACCACATGCAGCCCTGGGTAGAGTGGGCCTGTCCATCTGACTCCATTCTGCACTTCTAGACCTGGTAGTGGCTTCAGACAATTCCCAGAATCAGAGTCAATTAAGGTAGCAGGGAGCCAGGACGTCTGCATCCACCTAATCCCAGGCAATACCCAAAGGCAGAAGAAACAGGCTCAGTGGTCATAGTCCAACCTTGTCTTCTGGGTCTAAAAGAGGGTAAAGGCTTGGGCTAAGAGTCATCTTGTAGTTAGGTAAGGTAGAGGTGTGGGACTTACATGGGGCTGATGTTGGCATTACTTGGCTTAGCCTTGTAACATGAAAACATTAAGATGGAGGTTTTAGAAACAGAAGACCTGGGCTCATGAGGTGGTTTTAAAGATATGTCCACAGGGCTGGCGGAGTGGCGCGATGGTTAAGAACTGGCTTGGGACGCCAGAGGGCCCCGGTTCGGATCCCACATATGAGGGCCAGTGACACTGCCCTCCACAGCTAAGATGCTGAACAACAGCTCAACCTGGAGCTGGGCTGCCGTGAGTCACCGGCGACGGCGTAGGCTGCAGCCCCTGCAGCAGTGGGTTGCCATGGGCTACCATGTGTAGCCTGCAGCCAGTGTGAGCGGCCGTCCAGAAGCCGGCGACTGATCTGCCTTGCCTGGGAAGAGCGCAATCATGGTGCCAACTTGGGCCAGTGAAGCAACAAGACTGAAGAACAAAAGGACAGCAACTTGTCTGTTCCCCTTCCCCCATTTCCCCAATAAAAATCTTAAAAAAAAAAAAGATATGTCCACAAATTCTTGGATACTCTTCCCATTAAGAAGTGGGGTTTAATTCTTCTCCCCTTGAGTATGTGCTGAAATTAGTGACTCACTTCTAATGAAGAGATTATGGCAAAAGTGATGGGGTGTCACTTCTGAAATTGGGTAATAAAAAGACTGACTTCCATCTTGGGTTTTCTCTCTTGTTATCTCTTGAATTGTTCCCTCTAGGGGAGGCCATCTGCCATGTTGTGAGGAAGTCTATGGAGAAGCCCACGTGAATGAGCTTGGAAGTGATGCCTACCCACAGCCACGTGAGTGGGCTTGGAAGCAGATTCTCCCCTGGGACAGACCCTTGAGATGACTACCATCAGGCCAGCCAACACCTTGACTGCAGCCTTGTGAGAGATTCTGAGTTACAACTACCCAACTAAGCTGCTCCCGGATTCTTGAACGTCAGGAACTCAATGAGATAATGAATGTTGATTGTTTAATCTGCTAAATTTTGAGGTAATTTGTGATGCAGCCACAGATAACTAATACATTTACAACCTAGTGCTGCCATGACAACCCAGCAGTATGATCTCTTAAATTCTTTGGTTGTAGAAGGTGGGTAATATTGTTGGTAGCTAGGCACAATGATAGTTTCCAGGATTACATTTGCTAACACATGTTGTAAGCAGTGCTGTTCAAATCAGCTGCTGACCTAATTTATGTATTGTAATTGCTATCATTATTATATTATTAAATGAAAAAGATCAAGTGTTGGTTTTGCTATGAGCTGTAAGCAGATAAGATGTTGCCACAATTAGCCTGTTGAGCAGTTTGGAGGCAAAAACCGTGACTGGGAATAACTGCTCTCCCATGTGAATGAAGGGGAGCCAGCTAAGACTGGGGTACATTAGAGCACTGAGAGCCCCTGCAAAATTTAAACCAAATAGTAATAAAGTGACAAAATCCCCTATGCATTACACACCTTTTAGAGGTATAAAAATACCTCTCAATGCACCTGGAGGCTCCGTGGATCCAGTGGCTGGGGAAGGCTGAGCTGTAAAGCAAAAATGCTCTTCACCAGAGAGTTGCTCAGTGGTGGCAACCCATGGTACATGCTGTCTGTGACAGACGGGTAGGCAGGAGTGTTTCCAGCTGCCCAAAATGTTCTCCTATCAAAACATGAAGGGGATCTCATTGAAAGTAGTTACTTAAGCTTCTAAAGCTCAAAACTATCTTCAAAGTCGCTGTAGCAAGATAACATTTTGAGATATTAGCAGGTTTCTTCCTCAGCAACCTCATCCCTCACCCTTTCTATACATATCACTGTTCACTCTCACAATTCACAGGGTAAAGATAGAAACAGTTTAGCACTGTACAATAGAACTTTCTGCAACATGGAAATGTTCTATATTTGACTGTCCAATATGGTAGCCACCAGTATTGAACACTTGAAATGTGGCTACTGCAACTGAGGAATTGAATTTTAAACTTTCTTTCATATAAATCAATATTAATTTAAAATTTTACATTAAATAGCCACATGTGGTTAATATATTGGGCAGTTCAGCTTCAGCTCTAACAAAGATATCAATTGTTTGTCAAACTGATTATTTTAAGACCAATAGCCAAGACAACAATTCTTGCTATGTAAAACCAAATTTTAAATTAAATAATAAGAATCTGGGGTTTGAGAGAGAAATATTTTTATTTTGTTTTGAACAAAACTTGGTTTTGCATACCAAGAACCAAAAATCCTGAAGACCAGGGCATGAAATTCATATCATAAGTTGTAGAGGAATGCATGACAAATTATAATGACTTTCTTGCCCAAAAGGAACTGAGTTCAGCAAGAAAGGAAAGAACTTTCTAGAGCTTGGATCTAATGGGTGCCTAAGAAAATATCCCGACACAGGATAAGATGGGGCAGGGTATCCCAGAACAGAAGGGGCCGTTCGCCTGGATCCTCCGTGTGCTTGGCCAAAGTCTTCCTAAAGCAGACATAAAACAAGGAGACCAACAATGACTAAGGGAGATGTTAGCACTGATGGAATTGAGGCAGCCTCCCAGAGACTAGCAGACAATCTAAGTGTTGGGGAAAGACCTGTGGGAGTGCCTGAGTCCCCACAAGTGGCTGTCAGGCAAGGTGCTGAGCAGCAGGCCAACCAGAAGAGGTCTGTGGTTGGACCAGCT